CGGGCTTTCCGAAACTGGGGTTCGGACTTGTACTGCGGGGACTTGGGGGGGGGGGGGGGGAGGGGAGGGGGGGTGCGCTGCACGGACATGCGGTACCCCGCACCTCTACCACAATGTCACGAATGACAAGTGATGAGGCGGCGAATGACTGAGTAAACTGAACGTTTAATGGGGCGAACTTGTGCCCACAAATAAAAGGAAAAAGAATGATAACAACAGAGCATCGCGGGTGTCGAAGGCGGCGAAGCAGCAAGATCGAACGCTGAGGCGAAACTAACTGCGGCTCGCCACGCGGAGCCCCTTATGTACACGCGTGGGGTTCTGGAAGATTCGGCGTAGAAGGTTCTGTTTGTAGAACATTCTGACAGCGCCAGCGTGTGTAGAAGAGAATTCAAGGAAGATGGTGCATTGACGTTCGTCCAGGCCTTCGTGAAGTCGCGCATCGTTTAAGCGGCGCCGTACCTCAAGTTACTCAAGAAATACAGGGTGCAGTTGAACGTTATTATACGCAAGGCAACCAAGATGGCGCTGAGCATGCCGAAGCATTCGTCGACCGACAAGCTTCTCGGCATGGCCAAGCACAACGTCGTTGAAGAGTTAAAAGAAGCTGATCTGTCTAATCAAAGAGTTCGGCTCAGTCATACTTTGGCAAGACGTCGCGTTCTTGCCAAGTTTGGCTGGCAAGAGCCAGATCGGAAGGAAACGGGGCCGTTACCCAGGCTATGGGAGCGTAAAATCGACTCTAAGCCGCTGCCTCGAAACATGAGGCAGGGTCGTAACGACGGCCGCAGAGCGGCTCGTATAGCGGCCTTGACGGAGACTTTAGATCAAATAGAAGAAGAGGAAGAGGGGGTCACTTTCTACACATACGCTTCGTTACCCAAGCTTTCATCGAAAGCACGCCGGCAGTTACGACGGGGGATGTGCTTGTGACCTGCACCTCCATCAAGACGTCTTTTCCGAAATCGGCAGAAGAGGTCGCAATAGCTCTAGCACTCGCGCAGCCCAAAGTGGGAAGAATTGTCACTGACTCGCAAAAGGCATATAACAGCTAAAGAAAGGGGTGGGTGTCTCTTGCGGCAATACATTCTCAAAATAAACGCGACGTACAGAGCGTGACACTGTTGGCGCGAAGAAGCGATCGCCAGTTTTTTGTGTTTTTCTCTTAGAACGGAAAGGCTGCCATCAAAGATATTATTGTTATAGAAAGACCTCGTCTAGGGCTCTATTATAAAAGGTAAAAGTATGAGTCCACTAATTCTTTTTCTGGACAAATTGCGAAAAAGCGCCGATGTCGTGTTTGCGCTAACAGTGTCGCGATGTGTACCAAAAAGGAACGTGGAGTTGATAAGGACTCCGGCTCAATCTGTGCTGGAGGGCAACGAACTTGCCCACCAGTTTGCCCGAGAGATGAAACACCGGGTAGAGGAAGGTGAGCCACGGTCCGTAATTGATGATAGCGACATTGCGAACCATTACAGGATGGAAAGGCGAGGTTACCCCGATCCTCACAAATCGCTTAGCAGAGAACAGCAAGCGATTTATAGGCAGGTACAGACAGAATCTTTCCCGCACCCTTACCTTCAAAACAAGATGTACCCGGAAAGGTACGAGAAGGAATGTAATTTCTGGAGGACTCAGTTAGGCACACTCCAACACGTCATTGGAGCATGAGATTTTGTCAAGCCACCCCCCCCCCCCCCCTCCCCACACAACTTACCGCCCCCACCACCCCACCCACTCCCTCATCCTCCCTTACCGTGCGATAGGATACCTTGCTAACCAGCCCCGCACTTGAAGACCAGCTCGTCCTGATCTCCAGGGGCCAGACGGCTAGGGAAGCATATGGGTCCCGTGAAGAGAGAACCACTTCCATCGACGGCGTTTAAGAAGACGTCGTAATTAGCTCGGTCCAATAAAGATGTTTCTCTCTCTTTCTCTCCAAGAGTTGCTTCTCGGGAGCTCTCGGGAGCCGCCGTCACTGCCGTCCTCCCCACCATAGCTCGCCTAATCGCAACTTTCACGACCTATAGGGGTGCGCACTGGCGCCTGTAAAAATGGCCGCCATTTGGCTGATCGTCGTAGAACAGTAGTACGAGGGTGTGTCAGCGACGCCTAAGTAATTCTAGTTTTGCAATATACGAGCAGAATTAGAGCTTATTTTATTTCTTTTATGCCAGGATAGGTGTAGGCAAGCACCTTTATTGTGAAGCCAAACATCCAGGAGCTAGGGAGCGCGATTCTCACACCGCGGTGCCACCATCGCTGAAAGTTGCGAATAATCTCTTTCATACTTAGGGTAATACGCTGTCAAAGCTGTTGACGGGAGCATCAGACTTGGTCCTTTTGATCGCTTGCACGTGTTCTCGCGCAACCGAACAGATGAAGCCACGCGCTTGTAAAAAAAAAAATATCTTATAGATTAACACGCGGCCCTGACGTGACGCAGCTGCGGTGGCACTGTCGACGGCACTGGGCATGCGCAGATGCTTCCCTTTACGCGAATTTCGTTTCTGGGCATGCGCAGTGCCCACACCTTGTGTGGGCAAACGCGGGCTTGTTCGTAAACAGCGTGTCGGTCTATACATAGACGCTTCTTGTTTCCTGTCGTTCTCAGTCACGTGGGTTCCGTGTCTGGTATACGGGACAAAAAAGTAATAAAACATTTCAACCTGGAATATGCAAGAAAACATAGGTGAGGCAAAAAAATGTGTGACGATCACGCATTTTTCGTGCGCATCTTCCAGGGGCGTGGAGAGGCGAAAACGATGTTTTACCGCATGCCAGAAGTGACGACATTCAAAATGGCTGCTCCCTTGTGGAAAATGTGTATATTCCTACTAAGGGATCTTGTATAAATTTCATATGGTGTTATTAGATACGGCGTCTTGTGTAGGTATATGGGGCCCATACCCACTTACAGGATTCTGTGTATGTATACCCCAGGGGCGGATTTATGGGTCAGGCCTGGGAGGGGCTTTGGCCACTCGGCGGGCGGGGGGGGGGGGGGGGGGGGGGGGTGAGATATTCAATCAATTCAATTTTATCTTCTAACGCAGTGCTGTGGGTCCCCGGGCAAAAAAGCTGTCGTTGACAGATTGAGAGTGCCGGGGGTCCCATAGAGACAGCAACGTTTTGTGAAAAAGTAAAACAGTTAGGACGCGTTACGGCCGAAACGTCGCCCCGATATAATGTGTTGACCCAATATTTGCTATGGCGCCAAAAACTAAACTTTTGGCTGGTGTTTATCAATGATTTTACTTTAAAAAAATTTGACTTTGGGGATTTAAGGAGAGGGGGGGGGGGCGGGCTCCCCTACCTCCCTCCTTTAACTCTGCCCTTGCCATACGAAGACACAGGAGCCTGCATAGGTATACAGGGTCCATACACACAAAAGGGATCCTGATAGGACGTCATCCCCACCAGCGGAAATGACGTCCGTTGTTGATTTAAGTGTCGCATTAGTTGTGGCTGCTGATGTTGCGGTTGGCGGTGTAAGGCGTCCGCCGTCACTGTTGCCAAATCCTTGAAAAGGATCGCCCGCCACAGCGGTCATAACCCGCTCTATACTCAGAAATATTTTTAGTGCCCGATTCCCATTCAAAACGAAGTGAATTGGAGCACTATATGCATAACAGTGAAAAGATGCTAGGGCTTATTTTGTAGAGACTAGGATTGTGCCTCTAATGACTGTTATGTGAACTATGATTCATTACCTGTTTGACTTCTCGTATGAAACTATGCAGGATTTAGCTGCACATTTCGGATTACTATTTGCAAGTGCATACGAAGTACTTCCTGTATGCCTTCCCACACAAAAGTATACGGGAAATGCCTTTTCGTAAGACTTTCTGTATGAATTTAGATAGAATTTTCCAATGCGGTCGGGTTCGTGTTTCGCTGCTTTAGCATATTTGTTGTCGCACAGCTCCTTGTGCGTAATTTTCGGCCAAGAGAAAGATTAGTGATATCGGCCTTCGTCTTTCGGAAGCGTACAATGAAAGAACAATCGCTGCATTGGGGCTCACTCACTCGAGTTTTAGGGGCGAAGCTCCTTACGGGCTAGCCATGTTCGTATGTCCGTCCGATGTCCGGCGTCGGGGGCTCGTGCTCCTGCTCGTGAACTTACGCGCTCACGTGCTCACGAGCACGTGAGCACGTGCTCCCGTGCTCGTGTACGACAAAAAAAAAACCACCGCATCTCCACGTGGTGGATGATGTTGATTGGGGCGAAGCTCTGGTGGTGCTTGTCTGCATATACGCTGAGCCGCAGCATGCCGAGCCTTTCGTTCGTTTTCATCCATGTCAGAAAGAGAATGTGTGGTATGGAAAGGGGTTATTTACGCATTTGAGCATTTGACCGCAGCGTGACATGGATGAAAACGAACGAAAGGCTCGGCAAGCTGCGGCTCAGCATCTACGCAGACACGCACCACCAAAGCTTCGCCCCAATCAACATCATTCACCACGTAGAGATGCGTTTTTTTTTTTTGTTTTTTTTTTTTTTGCGGTACAATATACGTACTTGTGAAGTCATAAGCCACGGTTTGGCTATGAGATTGAGTTTATTTTGGGGGGGCTCCTTCAAACATGGATGCTGCTTGTTATAGAGAAATGAGTACTATTAAATAGCGCTGATCAGAGCTACCACAGAAACCTCTGTGGCTCTTTATTCATGCTCCTTACAGCGACCAAACGTTAGTTATAGCAAATCTAGTTACGTTGCCGCGAAATGACAGGCATGTTTGTTGCAACTGCCGCAGAAGTGCCGGATGTTCGAGGCGCTGCTGACTAGCTCAGGGACCAAGTGACTCTGCCTCCGGTCCGAAAAAACTGGTCCGGAAGCGACTACCCCGAACTAGTCATTCCTGTGATAAAAAGCTGTCGCGCTACCTTTGCAATTTCTAAGGTCGCCATTTCAAAGCAGTTGTTTTGTGCTGCAGGTTTGGGTTGCCTTTTCTGAGATGCTAATACAGAAGGAGTTATACATTTTTACTTGCCTATCCACGAAGCTCCCTCCTGTGTTATAAATCCACTCTCGTAATGTTTGATGTCTTTCTCGAAGTAGTTGTTCTGGGCTTCATATCTGGACCGACGTTGAATCACCTGGAAGTCGATAGATGAGTCAGCGCGAAGGGAATCAGAATGTGGCAATGGTGAGGGTGCAGGCTAGCTGGTGTAAATTGAGCATAGTTGTAAACCCGAGACTGGGGATACGGACCAGGGACAAGCACACAACGACGCGGACGAAGTCTCAAACGCAGCTACAAACTTTATTTCATAGTACAAACATACATGTCACTCGCCACCCTTTGTCCCCCTGTTTTTCCCTTCCTTTTCCCAAAACCCCTTACCCCTTCCCTCTTCCTTTTCCCAGGCCCCCGTACATTCCGGTCAAAAATAAGCTCAGACGTCGCCAACTCGAATTTGCCGACAAATCTTGTGTTAACGCTCATACACAGCGACATCCCGAGGTCACTCCGGTGCTCCCAAACCAGTCACAAAGCCGCCGACAAATCTCTTGTCAACACACACGCACCGCGACACCCCGATGTCATCCCGGTTCCCTCAAACCAGTCAGCCGCAAAATAGTTTCGGCGTCTGAACTTAAGTGGACGGATGTTTGACTGATGCATTCGGCAGACGTCTTTATCCTAATGGTCTCTCTCATTGATCTTTTCATGTCGTTGTTATCGATGCGAAGAGCATACGAGAACCTTATGAGAGTACATAAAAGCAATATAAGATAATATAAGAAGTTATACCAAACTGATAAGAAGTTACTTTTAACTTCTCAGATAATATTCTATTTTCCTTATATGATCTTATAAAGTTATTTTATGCTTTTATATGATCTTATTTGATCCTATGCGTTTAATTGACAGAGAAATGTTTATTCATATCAGATTAATTTACTAGGGTATATATGACTTTCTGGCAGCAGCATTTTATGAAAAATACTATATTCCCCTTTGTGGCTATTCGTACAATATGCGAGCACTTTGTTTTAATTTTATAGATAGGGAAAGTATAACATGCCATAAGCACAAAACGCTCATAGGCAAGACTGCGGGATATTCATCTTATTCTTGAAGAATATAAAAGTTTTAAAATAAGCATGTCCTTCTTGTTGCACGCTGCGAGTCACTTATAACATCCTCTGGACTAATATTACGGCGGCATATTATGGTGATTGCAAGTTCAAGTATTTGCAAAGATGGTTCATATAACCTAATGCAAAAAAAAAATGTCGGGCATAGCATTAAAAAGTATACGTTCTAGGGTTCTAATTAGTATTGACTACTACCGTATGTTTGCCGTCTATAATACTTACAGGGAATATAGCTATGTCTCCACTTTTTCGGTTGAAGTCAATTTTGAAAATATTTTGTTAAAGATAGAATATTTCAGAATCTGTGGATTTCTTACCCGAATTGAACTTATTTATCACGTTTCGATTCGGCATAAGTTCTTTCTAAAATAATCTGGGAAGTTTGCCATATTGTTATAGGGTACTCACTTGGTGGGCTAAACCGGTCTATTAGAAGTCCATATTCGCTTAATTTCAGTTGTATTTAGATTGTTTGATATAATAAACATTTAAATTTTCAACAAAGTAATATAGGCATATCTTTTGAAGTAAAAAATAAGCAATGCCTTTTTGAAGAGGGGCAGAGGTCTGGTAAATCATGAGTTACGATAATTATGAGACTTGGGTCTAATAATTGCGGGAGTTATTTCACTCCTAGTGAAGGAACTGGTAAATATTTTAGTAGATGAGCTCTCCTTTGTATCAAAAATAACACAAATTGTAGCCGTCTTCCGAACTTTTACACCGCCTTGCCTGTCACCTGCGCAGTGTAGTGCAGAAGGAGAACGTAGAGTTTCCGGTTATGTTCCCGAACACGCCTTCGTTCTGCGGCAATTTGAAAAACACGAAAGAATAAGACATGTAGAGACAGAGCCAGTGCTGAAAACCTTAGGGATTTGCCCTATATCTAGGGAGTTTCATTATATTCTGAAGACAAAGAGAAATTTGTTCAAATCTAGGGATTGACTTTAATTGGGTTTCAGTGGGTTGTAGAGACACGTTCCTTCCCTTTTTCCTCGTGCCGGCCGAGTGCAGAGGGAAAAAGGCTTCTTTGTATGTTATAGGGACCAGAGGTAATCTCCAGTGGGAACAAGAGCGATTTTAGGGGACCACCCAAGGCCAAAGTAACACAGTTTAATTATGTAAAAAGGTTTTAACGAAGCAAATTTAACCCTTAAATGGCCACCCAACTACATAATTCTATTCTTAAGGTACTCCATAACGATAATCTCAGCATTCAAGCAAATTAACACATTTTCTGAACATCTTGGGAAAACCAGGGAATTGTATGATAAAATTTTGGGAAGAAACGACCGTGGTGGTTGGCAGAACCTTGCCTCAGGCAGGGTGTACTCATAGTCTCCGTTACCGCTCATTCACACTGGAAGCTGATCGGCGCTCGCAAAGCAGTTGCGAACGCGGTTGCATAAAGATCCAGTACAATTGCACGCGCACTTGATGCCATCGAGTGCGCGTGCAATTGCACTGGATCTTTATTCACCACATTCGGTGGGAGTTGATACCACGAGGGCGCCACAGTATTTGGTGCCCCAGTAGACTTCCGGTAGTGTATTTATTTATTATTCAGCAACGCACAGCGGTTGGATAAAAAAAGTTTCCTTCAGAGAAAATTTTGTAGTATGTTTGTAAGAACATTAGTGCATTGTACAAAGTAGTGCAAATAACAAAAGGAGGAGAGACAAATGCAAAAGAAGTGGAAAACCGGAAGCGCGCAGGGGTTCGCCGATAGGGGGTGGTAGTGAGCTTGTTTGCAAACAAACATCGGTGAATACAACCGCGTTCGCAACTGCTTTGCGAGCGCGGATTGACTTCCAGTGCAAATGAGCGGTTATACTCACAATCCCCGGCAGTTCGACGACTGAGCCAAAGAGTGCCCAGTCGCAGATTTAGAGCGCGAGGATCTGGTAGCACAGAGCATCAGAGTCATTTCTTGGGAAATCTGGACGTCAGCGCACAGCTTTTGCAGCGGCGAGGACCCGAAACATACTTGTTTGCTGTGGAGAAGTGTGTGTTCGGCGTCGCGCAGCAGCGGGCGCCAGTTACGCGGCTCTCCTCTCACCAGTTGTCTGCTGCTCCACCTTTTCCATTTCGGCGGCCGCTTCGTCAGTATATAGGAGGCTATGGTGTACTAGAATGGGCAGGTGTGCCGTTCAGCGGCCGTGAGTGTGTCGCAATGTGCAAGCACGCCGGTGAGGGTGCTGTGGGGCAAAGCGCGGTCATCCGACGACTGACACAGGCCTGGCGGTCACAGCAGCCCTAGTGAAAAAGCCATTTATATGCGAAATTTCTTGTGTCCAATAAACACGTATGAATAACACAAGATATCTAAGAACATAAAAGAGCCATATTATAACTATATAATGTATATAACGACATACAAGATCAACATAAGAAACTTATAAAAAGCTTTTTCAAAGTTTCTCATATGGTTTTCATATGTTCGTATATATCTTATATAATTCTTATATGGTTCTTACATATCTTGTTTGATTGACATCTGTTTATTGGACACAAATGTTTCTCATGTTATTCGAAACTGCTAGAACATATTGTTTTTAAACACCTCGAGAGTTACTTAGAAAAAAATGCTTTTTTCTTTTCAAATCAACATGGTTTCCGTCATGGCCTTTCTACTACAACTCAGTTACTTGACACAGTCCATGATTTTGCAAATATCCTGAATCGATCCAAACAAATTGACGTCATATTCCTAGATCTTTCTAAAGCTTTTGATAGAGTATCACATAGTAAACTTCTCCTTAAACTCAAATCAATTGTACAAAACGAAGGTATCTTTCGCTGGCTCGAGAACTACTTACAGGACAGAAAGCAGTATGTGCAGATCAACTCGAGTGAATCATTATTAGTCCCTGTTTTATCGGGTGTTCCGCAAGGGTCGGTCCTGGGGCCATTACTGTTCTCAATTTTTATAAACGATTTAACCGCTAATATTCTAGTACGTGTTCGACTGTTTGCAGACGATGTGGTTTTATTTTCAGAAGTCAATGAAATAAGTGACCAGATTCTACCAAACACCTGCTTGTCCAAGATGGCGCACTGATGCGACTCGTGGCAGATGTCATTGAATGTCAATAAGTGTGTTCGAATGCATATAACTCATAAATTAAGTCATCTTTCTTTCGATTATTCCATTAATAGTACTTCACTAGCCGAAGTTACTTCTTATAAATACTTGGGTGTTATTATATCGAATGACCTACGCTGGAACACTCATATCATGTCTACTGCGCGCAAAGCGCTATCCAAGTTATGGTACTAAAGACGAAATTTAAAACATGCCTCTTCCGACGTTAAATTGACTGCCTATAAAACTTTCATATTACCCATCCTAGAATACGCTTCGGTGGTTTGGGATCCGTTTACAAGTACCAACATAAACGTCCTCGAAAATGATCAAAGAAAAAGTTTACGCTTCATTCATAATAAATTTCAGCGAAAATCTCCCGTCTCTGAATTGTACGCCCTTTCTGGGGTGAACTTACTAAAGCATAGACGCATGTTTACGAGAATAAAGTGTCTATTTGATTTATTAAACAACCGGTTCAAAATCGATATCTCTAAATATATTTCACCCGCACCTCAAGATTATCCCATGCGAAGTTGTCATTGCAAAACGCTCAAAGAATTCAACTGTCGGATTAATGCATTTAAGTACTCCTTTTTCCCAAGGACTGTTCACGACTGGAACTCCCTGCCAGGCGATGTAATAACAGCATCACCAGAGTCCTCCTTCTTTAATAAACTCCGAGATTTTTGTGATTCTTGTATCTGATGCTCATTTATTAATTTTTTTGCGATCAATATAGTCTTTGTATAACGCTGTTTGTCTGTTTTTGGATCAGCTAGAACGAATATCCTTGTGCTTGTTACCTGGTGTGTTTATTTATTCATGTTTTTGTGTACCCATATGTTGTAAACCACTCCTACCACGTCTCCTGCAATAGGAGACAGTAGTATTAATAAATGATAAATA